TATTTTCTCTTTCTCTGTTAATAGCCTTCTAAAACCTGCAGGAGCCTCCTGTGTGTGATTACAATTCAGTTTACCGAGCAGGAGATAAAAATGTCTAAAATTGTAACATCTGGTTGTAAATGAAACCATTATTTTTAAAGCAGGCTGTGTGAGCCACAGCCAGGGGAGGTGTGGCTAAGGCTGCATAAAAAGAAAGAAAAGTGATTTAACTCCTAAATGGCATAGAATTGAGTAGTGAGACCGCAGGTGAATGATTTATACACCAACACCACTCCATTAAGTTAAAGTTGTTTTGGTGACTACAGTGTCCCGTTAATGCTACAAATGGCAAAAACCATTATGCACTAAAAGTACCAGCATTATTAAATCCATTCTGGTATTAAAGAGCCCCAGGTATCATTGAATACTTGAGGTTTGTATCCGTCAGTGGCCTGACACTGAAAGATGACATGAGTGCAGCACTCAAAATTAGCTTTACATTCATTTACATACCCCAACTGAGGAATTGCACTCAACCACAAAAATGTTGAGCCTCTTCCCAGCTTAAAACAGTGAGCACCAGGTAGCTGATAGATGTGCAATATGCAGCATTCAAAGTGACCAAATAGTAATTTAAATGTCATAGATAGATAGACAAATAGACAGACAGAGATCAGATATTTGTGTATTAAAAATAATGTCTTGTTAGTATGACCATATTTTGCACCCCCCCACCACCCTTCCATTACTATTAGTTTATGGCAGTGGTAGGCAACCCCAGGCCAACAGATAATATCTACATCTTAGCAAACACTCATTAGCAATTAAAGTGTAAACACTCAAAGGCATGTTATGACATGTTATGTTATGATATCCCAATACACCAGATTGCCACCGGTTATTTCTATAAAGACACAGATCGGAGACTGACTACTAGAGTTCCGTCTTTAACGTGGGGCAAATGGGACAGCTGACCCTGGCCTAGTTACTCCTGGGTGGCCCAAAGCAGCTGCCCCGTGGGCCTGCTGCCCTCAATATATATATATATGGTTTTTTTTTCTCATTCAATTAGAGCCACCGGGTATGCATGTGTCAGCAGGGGCCCCCTTGTTTTTTGGGAGCCTATGAGAAAGTGACAGTCACGAGTCACTTTATTCCACAGATAATTCTACATGGGAGGGAGGAGGAGGCAGTGAGTAGGGGGCTGGAGAGCACGACCCTAACTCCCAACAGCCTCAGGCACCACACTGGACCCCAGGGAACTACTCTGCCAAAAAGTAGTGTCAGGATGTCTGTCTGTGTATGTGAGCATGTCAGTCAGTGTGTGTGCATGTGTGTGTCAGTATGTCTGTCAGTGTGTGTGTCAGTATGTCTGTCAGGGTATGTGTCTCTGTGTGTGTCGGTATGTCTGTCAGTGTATGTGTCTTTGTGTCAGTGTGTTTGTCAGTGTGTCTGTCAGTGTATGTGTCTCTGAGTATGTGTTAGTATGTCTGTTAGTGTAGATACTTGTGTGTGTGTCAGTATGTCTGTCAGTATGTGCCAGTATGTCTATCAGTGTATTTGTGTGTGTGTGTGTGTCAGTATGTCTGTCAGTGTATGTATCTGTGTGTGTCAGTATGTCTGTCAGTAAGTCTGACAGTATATGTGTTTGCAACTGTATGTGTGTGTTTATCTCTTGTTGTCATTGTGTGTATATGTGTATCTGTATGTTGTCAGTATGGATATATGTGTGCATATCTGTATGTGTGTGTGTGTGTTTGTGTGTATCTGTATGTTGTCATTGTGTGTATCTGTATGTTGTCAGTATTTGTATCTGTGTGTGTATCTGTATGTAGTCAGTGTATGTAACCATGTATCTGCATGCCTGTCAGTGTGTGTATCAGTGTGCCTGTGTATCTGCATTTGTGTCAGGTTTTGTATCGGTGTGTCTGTATCTGCATCAGTCTGTTTGTCTGTATCTGCATGTGGGTCAGTGTGTCTGTATATATCTGTGTATCTGCATGTGTTTCAGAGTGTGCGTGTGTGTGCGTATCTGTGTGTGTATGGGTGTCACAGTCAACATTTAAACACCAACAATACACACAAATACACATCTGCATTCAACCATCAACACTACATACAAGCACACCTCTGTGTTAAAAAACTAAATTATACATAAACACACCCCTGCATTCAAAAGCCGACACTAAACATAAATGCATTGTGACGGAGCCAGGGTCGGACTGGCCCACCGGGAAATTTCCCGGTGGGCCGTCGGCACCTGGGGCCGGGCAGGCAGCTGGCTCACCTGCGGCCGCAGAGGGAGCTCCTTTGGCGGCCGCAGAGGGAGCTCCTTTGGCGGCCGCAGAGGGAGCTCCTTTGGCGGCCGCAGAGGGAGCTCTTTAGGCGGCTGCAGGGGGAGCTGGCTGTTCTATCTCTGCTTCCCCTCCCCAGCGCACTGCTTAATGAGACCGGGGCCAGAATGTGACGTCACATTCCGGCCCTGGTCTCATTAAGCAGTGCACTGGGGTGGGGGAGCAGAGACAGAACAGCCAGCTCCCTCTGCGGCCGCCAGAACAGCCAGCTCCCCCATGCGGCCGCCATCAGAGCTCCCCACAGGTAGAAATTGTGTGTGTCAGTGTGAGTGTATGTGTGTGTTTGTGTCT